TTTCTAAACTTTACTTGGAATAAAAAAAAAATAGAATAGCAAAGGCAATCCTGTGCAGCAAAGACAAGGCAGGAGGGATTACAATTACTGACTTGAAATTATACTACAAAGCTACTGTGATAAAATCAGCATGGTATTAGCAAAAAAAAAAAAAAAATAGACCTCAGGATCAATGAAATAGATTCGAAGATGCAGAGCAACTACAATCACACTCAGCCAAGTTATTGTCAACAAAAGGGCCAAACATGCTTACTGGAAGAAAGAAAGCCTCTTTAACAAATGGTGCTGGGAAAACTGGCTCTCTACATGCTGAAAACTAAAACCTTACTCAGGTCTGTCACCATGCATTAAGCTAAAGTCAAAATGGATAAAAGATCTAAACATTAAAACCGAAACACTACATCTCCTGGAAGAGAGAGTAGGAGGAATTCTTGAAGACATGGGGGTAGGTAAACAGTTCATGAACAAAAATCACACTGCATAGAAAATATTTGAAAGCATTAACAACTGGGACCTGCTGTTATTGAGATTTCATGTCAAAAAAAATTTGCCAAAAGAGTGAAAAGACACCCCACAAATTTGGAAAAAAATCTTTACTACTAAGCACTCAAAGTTCTTCTTTCTAGAATTTATAAAGAACTAAAATAAACATTACATCCCCAAAATTTAAAGACCCAATCCAGAAATGGGCATCCAAAATGAATACACACTTCTCACAGTAAAAAGTACAAGAAACTAACAAATATATGAAAATATGTTCCACATCATGAGCCATTCATAAAATGCAAATTAAAACAACACTGAGATACCATGACACCCCAGAAAGAATGGCTGTCATAAAGATATCAACCAACAACAAATGTTGGAGAGGCTTTGGGGAGAAAGGAACTTTTGTCCACTGCTGTTGGGCATGTAGATTTGTGCCACCATGAAGGAAGTCAGTGTGGATTCTCCTCAAAAAACTAGGACTGGAAATCCCATTCAATCCAGTTATCACTCTTTTGGAAATTATTCCAAAAGAATTAAAAGTATCATATCATAGTTATATATGTGCACCTATGTTTATAGCAGCACAATTTGTGAAAGCCAAATATTGGAAACAATCAAAATGCTCATCACCTGAGGAGTGGATGAAAAAGATGTGGTGTTTTTGTACAATGGAGCATTACTCAGTTATAAAGAAAAATAAACTCAAAGGCTTCATATATAAGTGGATACAATTTGAAGATATATTCATAAGTGAAATAAACCACACCACATGTGTAAATATCATATTGTGTCCCTAGTGTAAGAACTCAAAAGAAGAAATAAAAATTGAAAGGAATAATACAGTTAAAGGGAAAGTGAGAATGTAAGGATTAAACAACGAATAGAGAGGAGAAAAGTTAGGAAATATCACATGGGCAAAACCACACATTTATATAAAAAACATGGTTAAGGCAATGGTCATAAGAATTTCCATCAGGTTTTTATAAAATAGCAGTTAATGAGTAGAACTCCCACCCTGACCAACTCTATATGCTGATGTCTGTGAACTAAGCAACTACACTGAGGATAGCAATGTGTAAGACTAAAACCATGGTTGAAATACCTATCAGTTTGGTCTTCTAAAGGCATACTGCTTCTAACATCATATAAATTATTGCTAAACTCTCTTTAAAGTAAATGTTTGTTTAAAAAAAGGTAATAAAAGAAAACAAGAGACAAGAAAAAAAGTCATTAGATTGTCCTGCTACAATGTTATATAAGGTTTGATTTCTAAATATCTGTGTTAAAATGTGTAATTATATTTTTTCACATAATATAGCGATTTAAATTTTAGAATATTTATTGTTGTTGGAAAATACCAGTTCCATGTTATGTCTAAGGCATTTGATATTCAGATAGATTGTGATGTTAAGCTCAACTGCATCTGTTATGGGGTAATGATATCATTAAGCTTCTCTTCTGGATGGTTAACAACTAAAGTTTGCAGACCAAAAATCAGAGAAAAAGAAGAGCTACAAGGATAGCCAATATGTTGGCGCTAGCCCTTCAAGGTCAGTGAGGACTCAGGACATAAGAGAACCTGTGCTGTGACATCCTATAACTCAGTGATGTCCCAAATTTTCTGATCAAGGAGATTATAGAGCCACAGAGGAAAGTGATCGACGATGTACAGTGTGCCTAAGGAGAGTCACCTGGAGAGAATACATTTTCTCAGGCTTTCACAGAGAGCAAACTGGTCAAGCAATGGCTGTGACACATCCAGATGGCTGACACTGACAAAATGTCTACAACCTGCTCTACATGGCTTCAGAGTAAATCCTGAGGGGATTTGACTGACTTGGTCAGATATGAAAGGTACATTTTTAGTTATATAGATCTTGCTTTATCTTGGTCTTAACCATCCCACAGAAAAGTACAAGCACAAGGTATAAAAAGTAACACTGTATTAATATGCTGAGCTGTGAAAGGCTCAAGTCAACAACTTCTGATAATTTCCAGTTCTGTTGATAACCCACTACTATTATGGACTATTGGATTATATTGGGTTATTTTCCTGAATTCAAGCACCTACAATATTTGGACTGGCATCAGGTATGAAAAGGTCCTTTAAAGACTCCTCCAAATACAGCTTCTCTAACAGCAATGGAACACCCATCTCTGACAAAACAAAACAAAAAAGGGGGATATAAATGAAGGAGTGAAAAAATATTTATGTACATGCAAAATAATTAAAATAGATATACAGCTACTTTCTCAGTTCAATGAGAAGGAAGATTTGTACTAATGTTTTTTAGACAAGAGATCATGCCTGTATCTTGTACTGTGAATAACTACTACAAAGACAACAATATGCAATGCATTATTTATTTTTTTTTAATTTTTTTTTAATTTTTTTTATTTGAGAGAGAGAGAGAGACAGAGAGAGAGAGAGAGAGAGAGAGAGAGAGGGGTGTGTGTGTGTGTCCAGCTCAGCCAACCAGGGGGCGGGGCCGGCTGGCATGTGGTGCTGGGGGATTGAACCGCGGTCCCTGATGCTTTGCCAAGCTTGTTCTAAGTAGGTGCTTCAGACCACTGAGCCATCTCTCCAGCCCAATGCATTATTTATTGTAACTGCCCTACTAACCTGTTTTGAAACTGTCTCATTGTTATTTCTTTCCCATTAAAATTAATAAAAAATTTAAAATGATAACTTTTTTGAGTGTATGGATGAATAAAATAATTTTAAGAGTATTTTTGTCAGTTTTTATACTACTCTTAGTTCAGTTAGAAGCCAAGTTTTCATTAACTGCAGAGTCCACTGTGTTTGAATAATACCTTAGCTCTTATATAGTAAAGACTCACAAGCTTAAAGATTTACTTCATAGCCTTACTCCCTTGATTCCCAGGAATTGCCTGGAAAGATTGAGCTTGAAATTGCAAAGACATAACCTTTAGGAGAGAAAATGAAAGACTTCAAAGTATTTAGCATTGGATTCCTTATATTTTAAGAGTGCATTCCCAGTGTTAAGCTACCTCTTGGAAATTGCACAGCTGCTAATTAGCCATCTGTGCTTTAGAATCTTTCTAAAGTTCAATGTTTTTACCAAGCTTTCCTGGGCAACCATTTTTACCTGGTCGTGAAATAATAAACAACAAATTCTTCTACTAAATCTGAGTGAACTGCTGCATGATCTGATGTTCCTATGGGGTTAGTCGATGATGCCAGGGACACACGAATGATGAGCTGTAATCTCTAGCAATCATTACAAATCTAGTTCACTTACTGCACATAATCATGGTAGGAAATAGATGGAAAAGAAATTTTAAACTTATTAAAAATGAGTGTACCTTGTTATCTCTCTGGATAATTTTTCTCTTAAAAATAGTGCCTAACACATTGTCTTATCTATGTGACATTCAGGGACTATGAATTGTCATTTTGAGTTAGTCCTCTTGGATGTGAGTTTTAAATATTTGACTTTAATTTATAATCCCATGAAAAAATAAATATGTTTTGCTATCATAATTTCTTGGCATTTTTATTTTTCAGAATGATAGCCAGTGGGCATAAGATATGCTGTGAACATTTCAAAGTGCATTATTAATGTTATTTGATTTTAAATAATGAATAAAAACAATGAGAATAATAAAATAAAATCTGTCTTTTACAAAAGGTGCTTGAAAGTTGAGATATTCTTTTTCAAAATATAACCAAATATTTAGCCTCATCTCTAGTTAATTTATAGAAAAACTTGTTTATAAATTTGAATGTCACCAAAATGCTTAATTTTTCAGGTTTTATTCATTTCTAGGCATTAAAAAATTGAAGTTGAGTGCTAGTGATGTTTGTAAGCCAAGGTCATGTGATTTTGCATTAAGAAATTGATTCAACTAACAGAATGTCTCATTTCTCCTAGATTACTACAAGAACCCAAAATGCTTTTGGTTTTTCAGACTCAATGCTTGTACCAGACAGGAATTATCAGGAGAATGAGGGTTTTAGTAAATTGCTTAGTTTGTGTTTGTTTTACAGGATTGTGTTTTTCTACAGGATTGTTTTTAATGATGAACATTCAAGACTTGTGTAACAATGTTTTTACTAAGCGATTAAAAAGCATATCACTTTTGAAGTAGAAAGAGGCCTTGGCTTCTCATACTTTATTGTCTCTACACTGCCTCATTTTAGTAACAAAAAATATTACCCTACTTCAACCTAGATTTTTTTATTATTATTATTTTTAACGTATTTGGTTGTTACAGGGTTTCACTATGTAGTTCAGACTCTGTGTTCCTCCTGCTTTCCGCTTTGCCAATATTCAGATTATAAGTATGTGCCACCATGCCTGGGTTCTGTGGCCAGCGCAGTGTGCCCAGGGGTGGGACGGGTGTGGTATGTAGTGCCGGGGTTCAAATCACAGTCCCTGTACTTGCCTAAGCTTGCTTAAGCAGGAGTTTTAGTCTGCTGAGCTATCTCTCCAGGCCCCAAGCTAGATTTTCATAAAACAAAAGTTTGTGGCAGTGGGTGGTTGAAATATTCTTCTCTTTTAATCTATTTTGAGCCTTTCTCTTTCTTTCAAGTCAGTTGGTGTCACCAAACCCAGGCCCACTTGTTGGGTATTGTTATCAGTAGGCCCCTTGGGGCCTATGTAACTTGAACTGGATTTTTGGAGTAAGGATACTTACTTTAGTTTTATGTCAATGACAAAACTTGATTCTGTGTGTCATATTTTTACTTTGCACTTAGAAAGCAGACTTGACTATTAGAACAGAAATGGGGAAAACTATATTGCAAATGCTGTGGTGTGCGGCTAAGACCAAGGCAGTCGTGCTTTTACAGAGCTCGTGTCACTCAACAGGGAGGGGGTAGTCACCCACTTTTTTTGTCTGATTACTGCCTCTCCTTTGTTTCAAATAGCAATCAAATAGACTCACTTCAATCAGTGTTACTAAGAAACTGCTTGATACAAGTTGACAGAGGCAACCTGTATAACCCATGAACATTTTCTTAGGGCAAAAGGGAAGAGCCACCTAGCTTTACTCCCCTTCCATATCAAACCACTGCTGGGGTTCGGTGAACACTTTATTTTCCCACTTGAACTTGAGCTTCTCTGCAAGGTCACTCCTGCCCATCTTGCGGAGATGACGAACGAGGAGGCGAAGTTTGTCGGTGGAGGTTGGAAGTGATTTTTTCCAGAAGCAAAGAAGTTCATGGATCTGTTCTGTGGGGTCGTCAGGGTGCTTGAGCTTGATGAGCTGCACGGTGCTGCGGCGCAGAGGGAGGGAGGAGGTGAGGGCCTCAGTGCCTTCTTCAGAGAGCTCTTCTGCCAGCCAGTGCAGCAGGTTATCCCACAGGGCTTCTGTGAGCACACGGGGGACATCCAGGGTTAGCACCTCTGCCTGGGGGAAGTGCTGACCAATGTTCCAAATTTCTGCATGAGAAATCTACCTGGCCTCTGTCTACTCTCTGTTAAAGAGACATGGGGCCACCCCGGCAGACAGTGAGAGCGTTACCCAGCCAGTAGTGCAGTCATCTTCTGGGGGCCCCTACTACTTCAGGGGTTAGAAATGCACCTCGAATGTCAGTATCCCTGGGAATCGAGAGGACTGGAAATATACTTCAGACCTTGGCCCATAGAGTCTAATTGAGAAAGACTAGAGAGGAACCAATGTTGGCATTGTTAATGAGCTCCCAAAGGACATCAATACCAGTGGTGTTTGCTCTCCTCTAGCTAGCAGTGTGTCACAGGAAGTTTTATAGGTTCAAAAAGATACTTGCCTTTATTAACACTAATGTAGTACATGGATTATACCAGCGACAGGGAACCCTTACGGACCTCCCCCACTCAGCCAAGTGCACACACACACACACGCACATGCACACGCACATGTACACATGCACATGCACACACACACATACATGCACACACACAAACACACACACATGTGCATGAGCTCACAAAGACTCGGTACCCAAGGACTAATTCTGTGACTGTGCTTTACATCGGCAATTCCTCTAGACTCCCGGACTACTTATATTTGCAGACAGCACCTCTGAGTATGTCCTGTGTACTCTGGACAGCCTTTCCCTTGGCCTGAGACTCCTGCCTCCCTCCTAATCTTATGATATCACCAGATTCAACTCTGACATCCCTAGTCACCTGCTCTTCTCTCGGGGATGCTGCTTGCTCTCAAGAGGTCAAGCCTGGCCACTAATAACTGCATGTTTGTGCCTGCCAATCATAGTGTTTTTCCCATATTCCTCATCCCCAAGGTGGTGGCTCCAGCCAACTTGATCTCTTCTGGATGCCATTGAACATCCCAGAAGAGCTGGGGCTTATTGCAGTAGCATTATAAAGGTAAAATTCCACGTACTGGTCCCACGACAGATCTGAGCATACCCAAAGTGGAGAATAAAGTAGGCAACACCCTGGCTCCTGGAAATTTCCTCCTTCTCCATCACACTCTCTAATGACAGCAAGCATAGCATACCCCCTCATAACTCAGTCCTCATAAAGACCCAAACTCCACACCACCTGAGGGAGAAAGTACCTTCAAAGCATGAGTTCACTCGCTCCCTTCACTGGCTATTGAGTAAAGTTTCCTGACTGCTTTCCAAGCTCTTTGGTTATTTGTGAATGGCACTGAGTAGGAAAAGAAACTGCATATTTGATAACTCACTCCATTATGCCGCTGCCCATTGTGTCACTGAGATTGATTCCTGTGAGACAAACCTGCATGCCCTGCAGTCTGCACCTTTTCATTTACTAGCCCCACAGGGCATCACAGTCACTTTCTTACTGCTTGTTCCCCCTGTGCCAGCTTCCCTGCTTTTGTATGAACAAAAAGCTCTACATCTGCCTGCTGTTGCTTGATGATTCCTTTCGTCTAGAGCCTCACATGAATCTCACTGTGACTTTACATATTGTAAAGCCACTCTTCCACGAAGAGGATTTAGGAAAAATTAACACAGCCTTGTTGGCTTTCAAAGGAACACTGAGCTATCTTTATTTAGTGCATTTACTGTGAAATATTTCCTGATTGGCCTTCTTCTCCCCATCACATGATCTGCCTCCTCCAATCCACAGGCAGCTTCATTAGCAACCCTATTGATAATCTTTCCCATCTGGCCCCAGGAATCCTTAATCTTGTCAACTCCAACAACCTGTCTTGTGCTTCCACACTAAAAACTGACCTTCAGAGCCAATTCTTGTTTCATCATCAGCCAGAATTACTCCATCTCTGTGGCCTTGGTTTCTCACTATTACTGCTGAATTTCACTGTATAAATTTTTGTGGCTTTATAATATGCTCTTGGCTAATCCCTCAGATACCTTGAAACTTTTCAATTACCTTGAAAGTGCCATGCACCTCTCCTCCAACCCTGCTGCCAGTGATTAGTGTGCATATCGGAGATGCTTTTAGGACCAACTTCCAGCGTTTTGTCCTCTTTAGCTTTTATTGTCTCATTTTGTCACCCCTGATGCTGCCTTTCTAATACTATACTGAAGGGAAAAATATGAAATATGCTGGATATGACCAATAAACACTGAACAACCTTCTTTTTTATTCTTTTGATACAGGGTCTCACTATGCAGCTTTGATTCATAGTGATCCTCCTGTTGCAGCCTCTCTAGCCCTGAGATTACAGACTCAGGCCAGCTTGGTGTGCCCAGGGACCTGGGGCCAGCATGGCATGAGGTACTAGGGATTGAACTTGGGGTCTTGCATTTTCCAGGCAGGCGCTAAGACCACTGAGCTTTCTCCCCAGCCCCAACACTGCACAGTCTTATACCTTGGGGGCTATTAATAGTTGTAAATCCACTAAAAATTCTTTTCCAAATTCAAATCAATACTTCCCATTTCAGTGACTCAAAACTTCTGTCCCACATTGAAGCCCCAGTCTTCTTCTCACTCCGTCTCCCTTATCCAGCATCTCTTCTCCAACTTCACCAAGTTCTCCCTGCCCCATTTTCACTTGCAAAAACATTTTCTGACAAAGTCTCCCTGGGAGACTCCTGAGCTTTCTGGAGTCCAGCCCAGTGCTTTTCATTCAGTATTTTTTCTTCATTATAATGTCTTACTCACTTTGGTTCCTTCCATTCTCCATAACAATACTCAAGTCACTTCTTTCTCTGTTTTGATCACTATGCCAAGCCTTGATGCCATATCATCCCCCCTTTTTAACCATAAACTCTTTTAATATCAAATATAAACATGAATCCTTAAGCTCCTCCCTATTGACTCCCGATATCTGCCTTTGCTTTAAAGTTCTAGGCTCCCTAATACAAGTCAAGCTTTAATTCCTATCCTTGGAGAGACATCTCAGTCACCATGTCCAACAGATGAGTGGTAGCCTGTGTCTCCTCTGAGTTCCATGGAGCATTTCACTCACCACTTTAACTTCCACAGCTGCCCCCTTGTTCTCCCTCCCCCACTGCCCTTCTCAACCGCCTGCTTCTGGGACCTGTTGCATTACAGTTCTTTGTCTCTGGCCTTGTATTGTCGTTCTTTCCTCTGGATGAACTCACTACCTCTTCCTTTGTGGAACATCTCGTCCATGTCTAGTATCCTGCACCTACTACTGTACCTTCATTGTTGTCTTTCGTTTCCCTAAATCTTAATATTGTATTTGCAATTCTCATTTTCCCTGTATCTCTATCAAGGAATAGTATAGTTAATATGAATACCATATTTCTAAAATTTAATTCTCCACTTCTGCCTTTCTCTCAATCTGATCTTCTCTCACTCTGCTTACTCTCTTAAGTGAATTGCTCACCAGAGTGAGATAAAGTAGGTTATCTACTTCAGAGAGTTTCACACCTCTGAAAACGCACCTCTTTTCATTGTGAGAGCCTGTTTCTTATCCTGCACCTAATTTAAACAATTCTTCAACTTTCTAGTTTAACTCATTTAACTGTAATCATGCTATATTTTAGAGGTTGAATGTCTCCCAAATGTCCTTATTTTGAAAATTTAGTCCCCAGACTGTGGTAGGTGGTGGACCATTTGCGAGCGGGTTCTAATGGGAGTTACTAGGTTCCTGAGGGAAGTCCTTGGAGCACATGTGCAGACTGGTCACTTCCTGTTTCCTTCTTTGTTTCCCAGATACTACAATATGAGTAACACCTGAAGTGAACTCCAGGAGCCATGGGAGTCTCTAAGGGAGACTTAGGCAGAAAACGATTTTGAAATAGACTGAGGCAAGGCAGATGCGGGGAGCGTGTGCTCCACTATGGTGTTCTGTGCGGCCCAAGCCCAGGAGAGCCAGGCAACCACAAACTGGAAACCCTGAGACTTCTAGGCCACATAAGCCCTTCCTCCTTTATGTTGATTATCTCAGTTATTTTAGCACTGTGAGAGAAAGCCTTCTACAACAAAGTCCTGCAAGTCTCTTCTCTGTAATACGGCAGAATAGGGGTGTTATCCCACATTCCTGGAAGTTTTGGGTCTCACCTAAGATCAGATGTTAGTACCCCATTAAATCTCTGGAAGGTATTTATGTTATTTAAATTTCCTAAACTGACACTTAAATCGTTTCAAAGTTTTATCCTATTAAAACATCTAAGTGTAGCTACTGTCATCTTTTTGTAGTCAACAGTGACTGCCCTCTACCTAAGGCAGCATCACCCCTGTGCTCTCTGATGATTGTTGACAATAATAATAATTGTGCTTCTATTTGAATAAAAATTTTCAAGTTCATATTATTAACCTAAACTTACTGATCTCTTGACTGTATCACCTGCTCTCTCTTTTAAAACAGTTTCATTTTCCTTCAGGGTTATACAATATTAAAGTTTATTCCTGTGCTGTTACTGATACAATTCAGCATATAGCCCATGCATTTTCTGCACAAATTGTTACTAACTGTGCACAACCAAAATAAGTAATAAATGTTTCTTTGTGGGTTCATACAAATATGTACTTAAATATGTACTTCTATTTCAAATCTGCAAACCTAGAATGTTGGTTTGAACCGATCACATTTAAAGATTTACAGCTGAATAGCCAATGTTTCAATATAAACCCTACTTAGCTATTATCCAGTACAGAAATTACTTGTATCTAAGTAAAATAGTACTTGATATGGCCATTGTTTTTGTAAATTTCAACACTAATTTCATTATATGAATAAGAGAGTTGGTGAGATAGCTCAGCAGACTAACTGCTTGCTTAGGCAAGTGCAGATGCCAGGGTTTAATCCCTGGCACCACAAACCATGCTGGCTCCAACCCTAAGCATACTGAGCCAGCAGTGGAGTCCGGATGTGGTGTTATATGCCTGTAATCCCAGCACTAAGGAGACTGAAAACAGGAGGATCACTATGAGTCTGAGCTGCATAGTGAAACCAAAAAAAATAAAATAAAATAAATAATAAAAACCAAAAAATAAAATAAATAATAAAAACCCTTAATCATATAAATATGTCAGAATGCTGTTTTGGTTTATAGGTGCATGACTTTCAAAGAAACTTCATTTTATTGGGTTGGTAAAATCTATTTTCCACAACAGAGTTCACACATGCTTTTATAGTTTAGATCTAAAGTGTTCCCAGAAATCTCACCTGTGGTAGAGGGAACTGAGTCATGGAGATGCTATCTTCATCAGTAGACTCATCCCTGGGAAAGCTCTGCGGCAGCTAAGTGCACTGTCGGTGAGCGTTGCCTGATGGGAGGTGGGTCCCGGGAGCGTGACCTGCAGAGGCGCAGGCCTGGCCCGCTTTTCCCCTCTCCCTGCCTCCCACTACCGTGAGTGCAGCACCCTGTTGCCTTTGTCAAGCCTGTGCCCCTTTTGCTTCTGCCTTGACCGTGGCTCAAAGAACTGAGTCAAAATAAGCCCCTCCTTTTAAATTGTGGGAAAGTGACTAAGGCAAATACACAGAATGTAGGAGGGGAAAAAAGTACTACAACGAAGGGAGAGCAGGTGTTCCTTACCTACAGGATCTGTAGAGATTCTTTTGGTGCTCTGTGGACGGTTGATCAATTTTTTATGCTATTGAAAGTAAGGGACACAGAATAAGCAGAGGAAAGTATTCTTTGGTGAACATTCTGCAAACAAATATTCAAATGAATCCAATCCTTCGTAGGAAGAAACACTAAACCAGATACCTTGTGAAGGTAAATCTTCAATTTGCATCTGTATGTGTAGAAAGAGAAGCTTGGAATCAAATTTTTAAACACTTTTTAGCTAAAAAAAATCAAGTTTTATTATGAAATTCACATGCACACTGAAAAAACATTTTAAAATATTATTAATATGTCTTTTTTACTTATTTATTTATTTATTTGGTACAGAGTCCAACTATACAGCTTGGACTCGTAGCGAACCTCCTGTCTCAGCCTCCTGAGTGCTGGGATTGCAGGCATGTGGTACAGCATGCAGTACCAGAGATCAAACCCAGGTCCTTGTGCTTGCGAGGCAGGCACTTAGACCACCAAACTATCTCCCAAGCCCTGAAAAAAAAAACTTTCAATTAAAATGTAAAACTGTTAAAGTCAATGAATACAGAGCAAACTATCTCTATAGCACAAATACGGTGCCTTATAATGTCCTCTGTGAGTCAGGCTAGCGACATGAGCACTTGGTGCAGAGGTTAGAACCCCACAGCTGCTGGAATAATGGGCCGTGTGACTGGATGGGTGAGTGACATGTGCATACCATGCTGAAAGAATAAAGCCACTGAGCACATATTATCCTGAAACCAATATTTTACCAAGAAGTAAGCACATATGTGATCATTACTTTTTTTTTTTTTTTACACCTTCTGTTAACAGTGTTCTCAGCTAATGCAAGGCAGTGGAAAGAGCATGGGAGGCCAGGTAAACACATCTGGGTCTGGATACCAGCTCAGTGGTTGAGGAGCAGTGTTACTGGGGAGAGTTTATCTCCTTAATCTCTATGATACATTGCTCCAAAGCCACATCACCAAAACAGTACACAGATGTTGGTAGCAGCTTTATTTGTAACAGCCAAAAACTGGAAACCAAATGTTTCCCCAAAAGGTGAGTGGGAAACTGTAGGTTACTACTCAGCAATAATAAAGAAATCATTGATACATGTGATAACTCCTAGCCAGACTTTCCAAGGGCTGCAGGGCATTGTACTGAGCAAAATTCTAGTCTCAAAAGTTTATTTATTCTTTTTTTTTAATGTATTTAATACAGGGTCTACAGGGTCTCACTACACAAATCAAACTCATAGTGCTCCTCCTGTTTTCAGCCTCCCAAGCACTGGGATTACAGGCAGGCACCACCATGCCTAGTCTCAATCGCCATCTCAGCGCGTCCCTGGCTGGGGGGCACCGCAGGCCCAGGGATCCAACCCTGTTTCCTGTGTCTGCCTGAGCAGGCACTGTAATCCGCTGAGCCATCGGGCCAGCCCAAAAGTTTACATATTCTGATTTCACTTATATCACTTATTTATTTATTTATTTATTTATTTATTTATTTATTTATTATTGGCAGAACCAGGGATTGAACTCAGGCCCTTGCGCTTGCCAGGGAAGCGTTTATTCTAACACTTACATCACATTTTAAAACCACGGAATTTTACAGATGTAGAACAGATAGTGGATAGGGGCTTTTAGGATTACAAAGGTGCAGCCCAGAGGAGAGCTCTGTGGCAGTAGATAAATTTGTATCTCAAAGCTAGTGGTGGGAACAGGAGTAAACATGTATGAAAAAATGTCCCCGAGCTATATTGTATCAATGTCAATGCTAAATTTCATATTTGCCTACAATTAAGTAAAATGTAACTCCTGGGGAAAACTAGTTTTAAAAAAATGCATAATTCTACTGTTTTTTACAACTACTTGTCAATTTATAATTACTTCTTTTCCTTTTTTTTTAAGGGCTGGAAATTGACCTTGTGCAATCTAAGCATGTGTTATATTATGAGCTATACCGCAGCCCAAATTTCTTTTCATTTGTTAGGTTTTTTTATTTTTTAAAAAGAATAAAAGAGTAAAAAAAACCATGAAATATATTTACCAGCCTCCTTCCCAGCACTGACACAAGGGTGATGAAAGTCCTGTATTCCAATGCACAGCACACCAGTTCCTACCCAGTACTGTATTCAAGTCAATTAGATCCAAGGACATGCTTTGGAGGCGTTCTTTTCACAGACGTTACAGAAGCATGGAAATGTAAAAGGTCCACTCAGAAGTTCGATGAGAAAAAGTTCAGAAAAACAGTTCAGAGTACACCTTGGCTATGCTGCAACCTTGCAAAATAAATGCATTTGTGAGCCACCTGCTATGCCCCAGGCCCCCTCAAAAATGAGAGATAAGTACCAATTTGAATATTGCAGTGGGAACTGTGATTCCTATCAAATGGAGCATTACCTGAGCTGAGCTTGTGACAAATGCACGCAATAGGCTTTTCTCTCTTCTTTATCCCAACAGCTTTTTTCTCCATGGTCGTATTTCTTCATAGGTGTCTTGGTGTACAGAGAGTGGGACTAGTGCTTACATATAGGGCTTTCTGTTCACATCCCTGAAAATTCAGGTCAATTACTTCATCTGACACAAAGTCAGTGAAGCAGTGGGCTGCAGCGAGGCAGACCTGGTGAGACTCTGGACACGGAGCTGGCCTCCCTCATAGATCCCTCCTCAGGGGTTTTCTTTTTTTTAAAATTAATTTTATTGAGAAAGAAATAGCAATAAGACAGTTTCAAAACAGGTTAGTAGGACAGTTGCAATAATTAATATATTGCATATTGTTGTCTTCATAGTAGTTATTCATTGTACAAAATGCAGACATAATATCTTGTCCAAACAATATTAATACAAATCTTTCTTCTTATTGAATTAAGGAAAAGTAGCTGTATATCTACCTAACTAATTTGTACATACAGATAAATATTTTTTTCACTACAAAATGGTCCTTCATTGATATCCCCCTTTTTTTGTTTAGTTTTGTCATTTGAATGGCAATGGAATATCCTCAGGGGTTTTCAGTTGCCTTTTCTCCCTTTCACTTTCTTCCCTTTTCGTTTCCTTGCCTGTCTTGTCTACGCACAATTTTGTATGTGCACAACATTTGTCTGCGTACTCTCTTTGCCGTGCCCTTTATCCTTGTAGCTCTTGCTGCCTGGAGTCGGCCCCAGGCAAACAGGCAGCCTCTGCTCGTCCCCCTGGGGTGTCCTCTCCCACAAGTGTCTTCTAAGTTCTCACACAGCTGCCAGCACTCCTTCCTTAGCAGAGCCAGCTCTCAGGTTTTCCTCTTTTCTCGCTCCCCTTCTGTCAAGATGGTATTCTAACACTTCTCCTATTTGCTAAAGGAAAGTTTACTATTCTTCTCCAATAACTTATTTCATGCCAAAGTTTTATATTTCAAATTGTTAAACATAATTTTTACAATGCCACATTTAACATATCACTGCTTAGAATGACTGATGGGTGAACTGAAACACCCCTCAAAAGCTCTCTAATCTGTCTCATCCATACAGGAGTTTGTCCTTAGGCAGCAGTTTGTGCCCCCCTCCCCCACTACGAGTTTCTCAAGGGCATCAGTATAACAGGATAAGTAATTCAGATTAGCAACAAAGTGCTAAGGGTGGCCCAGGCCTCATCTGCTTGCAAGTGATTTAAAAAATTGAAACCAAAGGCAGAACTTGTCTTAGTGCTTTAAGTGCTCTTTGGCCTATTAGTCTGTTTTTCAATCGGTGTATTTGGTAATTAACTCTTTAAGGTCTTATAAGAGAAATAAATGAATCTGATGCTGAAAAAATAACAGGGAGTGGAGGAAGGGGGAAAAAGAAAGGAATGGAAATGTATTATGTATGTGTACCATCCCCCACGGTGAATTTAGTCATTCTGTACTGCACATGTGCAGTAATAAGAGTAAACAAAAGGGTAGAAGAATAATAAAATGAAACAAACTCCAAAAATATCCCCTGACAAACAAAGGCAGCTTCTTATGCTTGAAAGGGATATAAATATCTTAATATTTGCAGCCACTGTTTTTCAACTATGAACTGCTCTTTCCATGCTGCCTAACTGTAATCCTCTTACTGAATTCTTAATGTGTGGCAGTTTGATCGTTTGTGTGCAAATAACTGACTTTGCCCTTACAATACTTTATCAATTCCCATAGTGCCTCCATCCAGCACCACTTCATCTCTTTTCACCTGCTATGCTCAGAGGAAAACTCTCTTGGCCTTTACTTGTTCCACTAATCTCTCTGAGGACCAATGTGTGTCCTTCCTGGTAGCTGAGGTGGCAACATACATGCAGAACTGAAAAATGTTTAATTTATGTGATAATATCTTTTCTTAACTTAAATAACATGTCCCTTCCAATTCAAATGCATTTTCGAGACCTTGGTTGAATTCTACCCTTTTTATTCAACTGTGTGAATGACTCATATCTTAGTTTGGAGCCTATGTATTATCACAGAATTTATCTAACAATTTAATTGTGTTGTTATGCATACTTATCTTCTGTACCAATTAGGCTTTTAGTAATCTATTCTGTGCTTTTTTTTTACATCCTCTTTAACTTAGGACTTACATTTACCACTTGGTGACCACATTTCATGCTCAAGAAATACACAGAAGTCCTGGGAACCTCCCACAGATAATCACGCGGATTGTTGTCACCGTATTTTTAAGGTCAGCAATCTTAGATGGCGAAGAGACTGCTCAGCAGCATCTTTGTGCATTTATAAAGAATTCTTCCACAATTCATATTTGAACACTCTTTGCTGGACTTCTACTTCACTTCTATTTTATCACTTTCTCAGCAAGGAATTTTATCTCCTACTCCTTAAGAAAAAAAGTGTTTCTCAATTTTCAACCCCTTACAATGAACTTGAGGCAAAGGCAAGAGAGGGAAGCTCACACAGTGACTCAGGAGGTCTCAGATGAGGCCACGTTAAGGCCACAGTGGTAGCAAGCAAACTGGATGATTCAGATGTTTGGGCATGGTGACCACAACAGCCAAACACTATCAAGTTAACGCTCAAGAACTATAACTTGGCACCCTTCAAACG